TTCACCCAAGCTGGACATTCCAGGTGCACCCCCTTTTGGGCTGTGTACCCCCCCCCCCCCCCCCGTTATAGTTGAGCCTTGATTGCTGTTGGCACGTCAGTGGGAGGGATATACCCCCAGGCTGAACAGCTAAAAGGACTGGCTTTAGCCTCGTGTAAGATCAGTTTTGCAGAGGCCCACTCAACAGAGCAGGACTTACTTCAGTGGGACTCTGGTGCCCACTGAGTCTGCCCGGTGAGTGTGTGCCTGTGGAGGTGGTTGGGTGGTGCTTTGATATGGCCCAAAATTGTCCCATGGTATGCTGGCTCTGGGACCTTCCAGGAGGTGCAGGCCAAGGCCAGCCACCGGCATGAGCTACAAAGTGACCTGCAGATAGCTGCTACTTGTGCTGGGCTTCGAAGTGCCCAGGAGAGGCCAAGCTTCAAACCAAGGTCAGCTGCCACTAGTGCTGGGCCTGGAGCCACTTAATGAGAGGTACAGGCACATTGAGGTCATATGCTGCTTGTTTAAGAGATTCTAGGAAAGTTAGAAGCATGAACCAAGATAGGCCATTCATATTGAAAAGTCACTGTAGCCCAGCTGGTATGGCTCATTGGTTGAGCATCAACCTATGAATCAGGAGGTCACAGTTTAATTCCCAGTCAGGGTGCGTGCCCGGGTTGCAGGCTTGATCCCCAGTAGGGGGCATGAAAGAGGCATCCAATCAGTGATTCTCTCTCTTTCTCCCTCCCTCCCTCCCTCCCTGAAATCAATAAAAATACATTTTTTTTTTTTTTTAAAAAAAAAGGAAAGAAAAGCCACTGCAAATAGCTTGGATGGGCTGGCAAATTGAGTGGGACACAAGTCTCAGGGAATCACCAGGTTAGGGTCAACTGTGTCAGCCAGGTTGATGGAGACTCAGATATGGCTCTGTGCGGGGAGGGCTCAGAAAAGGAACAATGGCCTCTGCCAGCACTTTTGTCTGGAAGAAAGCTCCCCATCCAGCTCTTGCCCTGATGCCAGACAATTCAGTTCCTCCCCTGTGTCCCTGGTGCCTTTTAAGCTGCTGCCCCAGCACTGGAGCTTAGAGTGAGTGAGTCTGAATAAGTCCATGTGCAGGCCCTTTAAGGGAACATCTGGGACTCCAGTAGCCCTATGTCTCACTCAGCCTCAATCCTTATTGGTTTTTACAGCCAGAAATTATGGGTACTTGTCTTCCTGGCTTTGGAACCCTGGGCTAGGGGGCCTCACTTCTCAATGGGGACCTCTGAAGCTGAGATATCCCTCCTGACTTTTATTCGCTACACGTGAGTGTGGGACTGGCCTGTTCTGCGTCTCTGCCCCTCCAGTCTCGGTGTGATTTCTTTAGTTGTCGGACTTCTGTTCAGCTAGATTTCAGGCGGTTCTGAATGATGGTTGTTCTGTAGTTTAGTTGTAATTTTGATGTGATATAGGAGGATGCAAGTACTGTGTCTACCTATATTGCCATCGTGATCAGAACACTTTTTAAAAAATCACTTTATTTTGTTTCCTCATATGTCTGGTTATTTAAAATAGAATATCAGTCATTGTATGTGAAAAATTGTGGGGATTTTAGTTCTAGGATGTTATCTCCTTTCAGAAGATTTTCTTGTAGTGGCTGATTTAGGGTATTTGAAGCTGGTCTTTCATCCGGTGAGTCTCTAGTGTCTTTCCAGTTAACCCTTACTTCTAGGGTATAGTTGGGTGCCTCCAGGGACCTCAACCAAAGCATTGAACATTTATCAGATTCCCCATCCTCAGCAGACCCTGAACTCCCTGTTTTTCCCTTATAGTTTCTTGCGAGTTCATCTCAACCTCTCATCCTCTTAGCCACCTCTTACAAAACTGGCAGATTATATCTGCAAAAAAAGAGCCCTCTTGTTCTGAATTTACCTCTCTGGATTTCTGTAATGATTGTGATTTTATGGTATTTATCCCTATTCTTGGCACAGAGCTCCTAAAATCCTTGGAATTTGCTAAACGATAAGAGCTAAAAAGGTAAAAAGAATGTCTGTTGTTTCCATAACAAGCCTCTTTAAACACATCTGAGTTTATGTTAATGAGGTGACTTGAAAAATACCTAATGGTGGGGGGGGCGGGGGCTCTGGTTGTCAAAGGAACCAATCAATTGGGCTCTTAGAGTTGCACCATTCAACCTCATCCCTTTACCTCTGGAAAGAGGAAGGGCTGGAGGTTGAATTAATCACCACTGTCCAATGATTTGATCAGTCATTGTTCAAAATGAAGCCCCCATAAAAATCCTAACTGAAGGGGCTGGGAGAACTGGGTTGGTGAACATGGGGAGGTGCTGGGAGGGTCATGGATGCTCAGTGTAACTTCTACGTACCTTTTCTTATGCATCTTTTCTGTCTGGCTGTTCCTGAGTTGTTTTCTTTTAGAATAAACTGGTCATCTACTATGTCATTTTCTTTCCTGAGTTCTGTGAGCCGTTCTAGCAAATTATCAAACCTGAGGAGTGGGTCATGGAACTCCCAATTTGTAGCCAGTCAGTCAGAAGCATAAGTGACCACCTGGACTTGTGATTGGTGTCTTAAGTGTGGGGTTGAGCAAGGTCTTGTGGGATTGAGCCCTTGCTTGTGGGATCTGTTCGAATCCCAGGTGGTTAGTGTCAAAACTGAGTTAAATTGCAGGACACCCAATTGGTGTTCTGAGAGTTGGAGAATTGCTATGTGTGAAAAAACACACAGACATCAGAAGTGAGTAAAGAGAAACAGGAGTGTTTTTCTTACAGTTCTTCTATATCCTAGCCCCATGATTCTTCATGATTTTATTAGCTCTTTGATGCCTTTAGAGGACTTTTGTTGCATAGTTTGTCCACCTTTTTTAGTTCTCATGGTACAGCTGATCCCAATGTGGTAATGTCACCTGCCATTACAAAAATAGAACCCCCCTCTGTTGATATTTACTTTATAGTTTTCTTCAGCAAATGTTTGATTGTTTACCAGGCCTTTCCTTAATTTTTCAGTCACTCACTCAAAAAGTTTTTTATTTTCTTAAAAGCTTAAGAAAATGTTTAATATGTATTATACATATGTGTTCCATGTTTAGTGAAGATGCATCAACACCCATTCTGCTTTCATGGAACTTAGCCTGATTGGGTAGAAAGAGGCATATGTAGAGGATAATTAATTATGCAAGACATATTTAAAAAACAACAACTTTAAATGTGTAAGAGAGGAATATAGGTCAAGGTTGTACTGACTTAAAGAAGAAAGATATATTCCTTCCAGTTCAAAACATGGAGTTTTATGTACCATTTTAAGAGATTTTAAATGAACTTTTTATTGAGTCTAAGTTATATACAGTTAGATCTACCCAAATATATACTCCCATGGAACACCACCACCATCAAGATGAGGAACTTTCCCACTACCACCACCAGCACCACCCCAAAATGTCCCTGGGCTCCTTCCCGTCAATTCTCTCTCCCTCCTCTGGCCCCAGTCAACTATTCATTTGCTTTTTGTCACCATCAATTAATGTTTTCTAGAACTTCATATAAATGGAAGCATAAATATATTTTGCTCAAAATGTTGTTGAGTTACATTCGTGTTGGGGTCTATATCCAGAGCCTGTTCTTTAATGTAAGCTGTCACAGTTTGTTTCTGTCACTTATATAGGTTTGTTTTTAAACTTGTCAGGTGCACTTAGCTAATAATTTATTTTTGTATATTGATTACTCATCTTTGACATTCATAAACATTAATGTCTTGAATTCTAAATGTATAAAGCTACAAAAAAATGATTTTGAAGAGGTAGACCTCTCATTGCCTACATAATTGTGCCAGTAGAGTATGCTGCTGGGACACAGGTGTTTGGATCATACATCACATTTTGACCTTTTATTTGTATAAATATGTTCTAATAGACTCCTTCAAATGCTAGGCTTAATAATGATGATAATGGGATAATTTTAAATCTTGTGATAGCTACTGAGACTACAAATGTAGTTTAAATAAAAATAGGCAAAATTATATTGTAGTTTTTATTGTCTGTAAGACTATTTGGATTTTAGCTGTTTTCAAATTTTAATACCCTCTTAAAAATAAAAGTTTTCATAAAATTTAATATGTATTTCATGCTTTTAAAATATGACTATATTATGATTTATTGCCACAGCTTATGGTATTCTTTGAAAAGGCAGAGTAATATTTTCCTTTGGAACTGGGGTTTTTTTTCAATGTCAATTAGCAAACATTATATTCTTTCATAAGGAATGTGTTTTTATATTTTCTAGAATTATAAAATTTTCCTGCTGTAGGGTTTGTTTGCCTTTTTTAAACAAAACAAATCTGTACATAAAATTTCTTATACAAAGAAAGCTGCCTTATCTCATCTAGTACCTCTTGGTATTTAATTCCTAAAGTGTTGATCTAAACTTTAGTAGATACTCCTTTTGTCACTTGATGCAAAATATATGTAAAATTTTCTAATGGAGTTCAGTCTTTAAGAGCCTAGGCTCTGGATTCAGTTACCTGAGTCTGAATTTCTCTTCTGCCACTTAGCTGTGAAACTTGGGACAAGTAATTTCATTTCTTTAAAATCAGTTTCTCATTGTAAAATGGGGATGTTAGTCATTCTTGTACAGGTTTAGGAGATAATTTACAGAGTTTTTAACACAATGACTGGACTGAATACATGTATGTTGAATTAATGAAGGAATGCCTATTCTCTGTTGTATATAACCTACAACTATATTTGTAAAAATTTGATATTAATGTCAATTTGGAATTCGCCCTAAATTCTAGGTGACTGGGATAGTTACTTCCTGACCATGGTCATAACTTCATGAATACTGTTAGTGACTACATGATATACCGATGATAAAAGGCATTCTTGAGATTGTATACGATTCTATTTTAGTTAGTGCAGATTTGGACACTACTCAAGTATATTGGGCAGGGAGGAGGACCTAGCAGGGATTTTAGTTCTATGTGAATATTCTAGATTCTTTTTTTTTTTTTTAATGTACCATTCAGTCCCTGAACCACAGCTGCTTGATACTGAAGATTGCGACCTCAATGTGGTGAGATTATGTTTTCAAGTTTTCCTCTATGATGAACATGGTAATTTGACGACTACTCTACCTCCTGTTGTGTCTAACCCAATTTATGACAACCGTAAGTACTTTATATTCTTGCGTTTGTAGCCTTAGCTTATTTTTTTTTAGTATAGTATAATTTTTTAAAGTATTTTAGTACTTAGAAAAACAGTATGTCTATTACAGGAAAAATTCAAACATTTCTGAAGTAAATAACAGGAGGTATTCTCCTATAGTAAATCTCTAATTTCATTCTCCACAGGTAGTCACCGTCCTCAGCTACATATCTCACCCGTTTCTTCTTCATATATGTACAAGTACATTATCTTCATCATTCACACTATATAATTTTGGCAACTTTTTAAAGAAATCATTACTGATCTTTAAAAAAACATTCCCCCCCCTTCTTAGCAATGTATCTCGAATCATTTTTCCTTTCAGGCACCCTATTCTTTTCAGTAGCTGCATATTGCCTTAGATGGCTATATCATAATTTTATTAAATCATTACCCTATTACAAGACATTTGGTTTGTTTCCTTCTCGCTTTTTTTCTTTTGGCTCTAACACTTTGTACTGCAGTAAGTATCTGCATGTGTATATCTTGTGCAAGTCTTTAGCATACACTTGCAGAGTAGACTGTTGGCAAATGCTAGATCAAAGGATACTGATATTTATAGTTTTAAAAGATTATGAAATTGCCCTCATAGTGTGTGTGTGTGTGTCTGTGTGTGTGTGCCTGTGTGCGTGTGTGTACCTGTCTTGCATGTAGAAAGATAGTGGGACATAGGGCTATAAAGGCAGATCAGATTGTTATCACAGAGAGCTTTGAATTCCAGGGAGAGTTACTGAAATATTGACCCAGATAATAGGAAGCATGAAAAGGGCATTGCCTTAGGGTTATGGTCATGATTTAAGAAGATTAGTTTGGTGACAGGGTGTAGGAGGGTGGAAAGAATCAGAATTCAGAAGCAGGAAGATTTCATTAGAGGACACGTCATTGCCTAGAAAGTCACTCTAAACCAGTTTAGACAATGTAGTCAGAAAGGAAAGGGTCAGGCGTGGATGATTAATGTCGTGTTCTTAATGTTCTTATACATTAAAATTCTTTACCTGTTCTATAGATTGTTTTCCTAAAATTCTCTCCATCAAAACGGAATAAAATATTAAGGTAGCGACCCATTAAAAATCTCTTCATATTTAGGTGCTCCTAATACTGCAGAATTAAGGATTTGCCGTGTAAACAAGAACTGTGGAAGTGTCAGAGGAGGAGATGAAATATTTCTGCTCTGTGACAAAGTTCAGAAAGGTATTTGTTTTTTGTTTGTTTGTTTCATGGACTTCAGAATATATTTTAAATTAACAGATAACATTTTACTTTGTTTTCCCACTGATAGTTCTTTGCCTTCCTATTCACTAGATGACATAGAGGTTCGGTTTGCGTTGAATGACTGGGAAGCTAAAGGCATCTTTTCACAAGCTGACGTGCACCGTCAGGTGGCCATTGTTTTCAAGACTCCACCGTATTGCAAAGTGATCACGGAGCCCGTGACAGTGAAGATGCAGTTGCGGAGACCTTCTGACCAGGAAGTTAGTGAGTCGATGGATTTCAGATATCTGCCAGATGAAAAAGGTGTGACTTCTTAGTGGTCATGTTTTATATATTTCTTAAAATTAGGCCTTGTAATAACATTTTTTGGTAAGATACCTTGAAATACAGGTGGTGGTTGTTTTTCATAATTTCCATTTCTTTGCCTGGTAGTTTTTCATTGATTTTTCAACCGGTTGATCTGTGTGCTCTTTACACCTCTTTCTTAGGAAAGGAATCTGGAATAATTTCAAAGTATCTAAACTGTTTGCCAAAATTTGTTTTATAGTTGAGGGGGTTTTTATAGATAGCAAACTTGCCAGAGAGTAGTCTCCATTTTGGTCCTTTTCTGCCTTTATTGCATTAGTTGACGTTGTTGACTTATAGATGTTAGAAGAAAGCGAGATGAATATCAAACTGTTTTTTACTAAGAGAAAAATACCCTTATCACTGGCGTAGGACACACTCTGCAACATCTATTAAGTCCATATTATGTACATTTATTTAAAGCATTTTTTATATAGGGATAAAAACTATTTATTAAAGGAGAAGAAGCATGATGATTCATTCACATGCTTTCCTGGTTTCTTTCTAACCAGATACTTATGGCAATAAAGCAAAGAAACAAAAAACAAGTCTCCTTTTCCAGAAACTGTGGCAGGATTGTGGTAAGAATATTTTTGGATTGATTCACATTTAAATAGATTTCGTGGGGGGTTTTTTGTTTTATTCAGTTTTGCGCATTTTAAGTGATAATGTTATTTTTCAAATTTACATTTAATAATGGAAAAACCTTTATCACAGCAGTTAATTTTCCTGAAAGACCTAGACCTGGTCCCCTAGGATCAACTGGAGAAGGAAGATTCATTAAAAAAGGTATTTTATTCCCTATAAAATATCCCTAGTCATTGGAAAGACCATGGCTTTGCATAATATATTGGAATTCCATTCTTAGAAATAAAACTGCTTCTTTCTATTTTCCACGCCTACAAATTTTTTGATGCTTTGAATATTGAATTAATTGATCTTGGCTTCCAAGGGTCCTATTGGAAACTGGTTTTGGGGAGTTACTGTTTGGGAAATTACATTTCGTTCATATGGTGGTACTTTTACTAATTACGGTATGTCATGCAAGAAACTGTTTAGATCTAACCAGTAGCCTGTCTTTATCAGTAGAGTTTTGCTAGAACATAGCCGTGCTCATTTGATTACAAATTGTCTGTGGCTCTTTTTTCACCACAGTGGCGGAGTTGGTAGTTCCAACAGAGGCTGCAAAGCCTAAAATATTTACTATCTGGCCCTTTATAGAAAAAAAAAAAAGTTGTCAATTTCTGGTTTCGATCATTCAACCAGGGTTAATTAGAAGTCTTTTGCCCCTTATATTCTTAAACCAGTGCTTCTTCCAGGATTACTATGTATAGCAGTCACAATAATGTGTAAATAAACACAGAATCCTTCATTTTTTTTTCTGACGGGGAATTTGTAGTACCTTAGTGTGTTATATCTTAATACATCTTAGATAATTATGTGGACTTTCAATCATCCCCAATGAGTGTTTCCTCCATCACTTCATTTTTTCTTAAAAAAGAAGAATATGAAATGAATTTTGGCTATTTAGAGTCCCATTAACTGAAATTCTAATATTCATCTCTCACTTTCCAAAAATATCTTTATGGGGCCTCAGAAGCTAGATATTCAGATTTGACTGGAGTGAAATCTGTGCCAAAATAACGTAGCAATATTATGTACAGGTATTTGTAGAAAGGTAAGTGTCACAGAATTTAGCTTAGGGCTCATGTAATCATTTTAGTGCTGTCTTAGTTTTTAATTTGAACTGCCACATCAGTGTCCTTGAACATTTTCTTTATTAGTGTGTTTGTGCCATTTTTAGAAGTAGTACTTTTTATAATTTTGTTCACTTCAGTGCTGTAATGATATATTTCCCCCTCCACAGAATCAAACTCGTTTCCTCCTGGTGCAGTTTTGAATGAAATGCTCCGGCCTGCAGGGGTTTCGAGTCAAGCAGACTCTTACTACTCCCCATCTGTGTCCATCTCAAGTGCCATGCCACATCATGCCTCAGCCATGCCCCCAATGGTGCCTCAGCCTTCTTCACACTGGTCCTCAGAGCCCCACCCCCCCTCATGCTCAGTCAGTACAAATCCACTGAGTAGTTTTTCAACAGGGACAATTTCCTCTAATTCACAGGGTATCCCGAGATTCTCAGAAGTGCCTGTTGTGAATGACTTGCATGCTTCTAATGCTTGCATTTATAACAGTACTAATGACATAGGCAGAATGGAAACATCATCCCTGTCATCAGCTGACTTCTGTGGTTTTTCTGGTGCCAACATGCTGCAGAATTGCCCTGTCAGTATATCCAGTAATGACAGCATGAGGGAGACTGACAATTCGGGATTTACGAGAATGAATATTGAAAGCCCTTCATGCAACTCGGTGTTAGACCAAAGGGATTTGAGACAGTTCCATCAGATGTCCTCTTCCAGCATGCCAGCAGGCGCCAGTTCCGGTACCACTGCTTTCGCGTCACAGTTGGATGCATTTGAGGGATCCGACTTCAGTTGTGCAGAGAACAGCATGCTAAACGAGTCAGGGCCTTTGAATGGTACTAATCCAAACGGTCATGGTTTTGCTCAAAGTCAGTATTCAGGTATTGGCACTATGCAGAATGAGCAGTTGAGCGACCCGTATACATTTGAATTTTTTAAGGTTAACTTGTAAGACTTAAATGGTTCAAGCTTTAAATCCTTTTAAATGTTTGCAATCATTTTGATATTACCCACATAGAATCAACATTTTCTATTTCTCCCACCATATGTAGGAGATTTCTTTGATAGGCTCTCTTGGCTCTGGAGCTCCTCCAAGAAGTGGAAGAGAGGGATGAATTCATTTCCCAACTTCGGGAAGAGCTGCAAAAAGCCCCAGGGCTTTGCTTCAAGAGTGAACAAATCCATACCATTTGAACTCTAGGCTATGATGTCCCCTGGAATCCTGCGTGCACCCCACATAGTTTATTTAAACTAGTACATATTTCCGTCTCAGATCATTATTTGACCATTAGAAGTGTATAATGAATCTGTGACATGTTAAATATTAAATAAAATCAGTTTTTCAATTTAAAAAAACAAAACACACACACAAAACCCACACCTTTGGGTATGGAGAATACAAAGTTGGAAATTGCCAGAACAGGAACATTCCAAAGTAGACATTTAAAAGGTTTTAGTGTTACTCTTTGAAGCATGCGGCCTGATACTGTGTATGGTGGGAGTTCTGGCTTTAGAGTCCCACCGCGTTTCCACAGAACAGAGCGAAGGGAGCATGAGGGCACAGCTCCAGTTTTTCCAAACTTTTTAATATTTCTTTTGTAATGTATTAATGTATTCCTAGTTAAATGAATTAACCGATATTTGCTTTTAAGCAAATTTAAGGTAAAACCTGTAATGGCTATGTCATTGGAAAAATTAATTTCTTATTATTTTTTGAGGCCCATGGGCCAAGGTGACCCCTAAGGGGTTTTTCTGAGGCTTTTTGGAGTTTCTTAGATGTATATGTAAATCAAAATTTCTTTAAAATGCTAAGTTGGACAGAAGGGTGCATTTAAGTAATGGGAGGTTCTCTACTTTTTGGATTATTTAAATCCATATCTAAATTGCTTGTGATTTTAGGTCTACACCTATGTTCTTAAGGGGAAGAAATTTCTTTGGACCTCTTCTCTTATGTGTCCTCAGTCACTGTGAGTTCATCCAATTTCATGCTGTGAGCTCTGAAATTTTACCCCTAGTTTAGACCTGTCCTCTGAACAGCAGATTTGGAGTTTACCCATGTGTGTAAAACTGCTTATTTAACATCTATACCTAGAAATCTAATTAAAGATCAAACCCAGCACATTCTTGATCTTCCCTCCCAAACGTGCTTCTCTTTTAGTTCTCCCCCGTCTCAGTAAATGGCAATGCCATGCCTCTGGTTGCTCAGGTCCAGGTCTATGGACTCGTCCTTGATTCTTTTTTCCTTTTATCTCCCATATCCAAATCTGTCAGCAAATCTGGTAGGTCCTACCTTCAGAATACATCCAAAGCTGGCCACCTCTTTTGACCTCTCCCATTAACATCCTGTTCCAAGCAACCATCATCTCTGGCCTGGATTGAAGCTATTTTACCTCCAAAAACCCTCTTTATTTCCTTGTGTCCCTACAGTCTGTTCTCCATAAAGTAGCCAGAGTGATTATTTTTAAGCCACATCAAATCATATCATTTAACTGCCCAAAACCATCCGATGGCTCCCCATCTCAGAATAGACACCAAGGTCCTTAAGGTGAGCAAGCCCTCGCTCCATCTCCTACCTCATCTACCACCATTTCCCCTGCCATTCAGCGCCAGGTGCTCTGGCCTCAGTGCTCCTCTTCGAGTACACTCCTGCCTTACGGTCTTTGTACTTGTTGGTCTTTCTGCCTGGAATGGTTTTCTCTCAGATACATGCAGGACCACCCTCCTTACACCCTTCTCACGCCACGTTACCTGCTCAGAAAAGCCTTCCTTGACACTATAACTAGTTACCAGCACATCACGTCCCTTCCTTTATCTGTTCCCATAACCTTATCTAAGCATTCATTTGTTTACTATTTGTTTTCTTGTACTGGAATATAAGCTCCTTGAGGGCAGAAATATTTGTTTTGTTTGTAGAATACACAGTTTGTAGAACAGTGTCTGCCTCAGATTAAGCGATCAGTAGGCCCTAAGTACTACTGATACAACTCTGTTTTTTGAAATAAAGAATAGCTTTAATTATTAGATGCTCATGGTTTTCATAGTGCCATTTAGTGTTACATCGGGTTTCTATCAGAATCATGTACATTTAAGACAACCATTAATTAATGGTAATCCAAATAGTTGGAAGGCAAAGTGTAATTGTGATGGGATTGTCATGATGCTAAGACCTAGTTTATTTTATAACTAGAACCTACCATAAATGTTGAGCATATTCCTAGCTAGAAACGTGTCATTTTGTTAGAGAAGAGTAAGAAGCTAGGAAAATTCCAGGACAAGCAGAATTTGGAAACTCAAGAGTTAAATAGCACTTTGCAGCCACCTAGTAAATCCTATCTTCCCTCAGCCAAGAGTAAATGGTTTGCACATCTCCTCCCCAACTGGAAGGTAAATAGCTTAAATCACCCTACTCAGGGAGACATAACAGAAATCCAGTTAGTGCCATTTGCCAACCACACCCAAGGACAGACAATTTAAGAGAATAAATCTTCCCCCTCAGGAAGACAAGAACTGAGGTCTCCTCGTCTCATGGTTAATAATTTCACTAACATAGCATCCAACCAAACCATAAATTTACTGGAACAATTAAAACTAGTCAATTTGGTCAAAATACAGAATGTGAGAATGTCATACAAATAAAAATTCTGAGTTGAGTGATCCTGGGAAATGGTAATGGTAATATAAGGTGAAGATATTTAGGAAGAAAAAGATTAATGATTAAAAATATTAAAGCTAAGTACCATTAATGTTTCTCAAAAAAGATGATTTCAAAATGAAACATTCTTGTTATTATAATTTTAAAAACCATAAGCACATAACATACTTCTGTAGAACATACCAAGAGAAATAAAAGCCTGAAGGCATAATTTCTTACCTATTCAAAATATGAACCCAAGATATTTCCAGATAGTGGTTGATAGGTGGTACACTTTTTTAAAAATATAGAATCCTCTAGTTGTGTATTAATTAGCATTGGTCAGCTTAAACAACTGATAGAAAACCTAAATGGATTTTTTAAATTAAATAAGCAGTTGACTTGCAGTTTTTTCTGTGTAAGCCAAAGTAAGGTACTGCTACATCTGTGTTGAGATGGATTTTTTATTTTTCATGTGCCATTTACTGATCATAGGATTTATTTTATGATTTAAAAAGAATGTTATCCCTAAATGTGTTTACACTTTCACCTGTACTTGTAACCCCCCACTCTTAGCTTCTGAGGAAAAGGTGACCTTCTGCCTTTCTAACCTCTACTGATACACTGGATTCCCTCCCCTTTTCTCTCCAATCCCCCTCCTGTTTCTTTATCCTCACATCAGCATTTAGTGCCTCTTTTTTTGTATAATAAACATAATCAAAGTCTTCTTTAGCTTAAAAGGAAAGGAACAAACCTCTTCTGCTATCCTCATGCTCCTTCCCTTCACATCCAGACTCATAACATGCTTTCGGTCTCCATGTCCTCATTCCCGGTCATTCCTTACCCTCTCCTCTCTCACTTTACCTCCTACTATTTTCTTCTGCTATTCTGTGGAAAGTGACCTGGGACACCCTCCCTTGTTAAACCTAGCATCTTTGTATCCATCTACTTACCTTTGTATGTTTGGACTATCTGTAACCTTCCATCCCCTGGAGCACTCCCTCCTTGGGTACTCCTCCAAAGATTCTGTGGTAGAGAACATTCTTCTCTGAGGTTGATTTTTTTACTCTGAGTCTCAACCCTGGGCCCTCAGTTGGTGCTATTTTTCCCCCAGGGTGACCTTATCAGTGCCCACTCCAGCTTTCTCTCAAGCTATCTGGATGCCTTTAGAACTGGTTCTTCCTTTTGCTACTCTAATGGCATTACCATTTACCCTGCCATCTAAGATACTTAAACGAAACCTCAAAACCTCACATTCATCCGTAGTCATCAAGTCCTTTTGAATCTGCCTCCCCCAAATCTCTTGCATTTGTCCCTTAATTGCCGCTGAGTTCTTAGTGTAGGCCTTCCTTCTTTTTCCCCAACAAGAATATCTTTTCCATATGCTCCAGTTAAAAATAACACCCCAGCTCTAGCCGGTTTGGCTCAATGGATAGAGCCTTCAGTCCGAGGATTTGATTACAGTCAAGGGCACGTACCTCGGTTGCAGGCTCGATCCCCACCCTGGTTGGGGTGCTTGCAGGAAGCAACCAATGGATGTGTCTCTCTCACATTGATGTTCCTGTCTCCCCCTCCCACTCTCTGAAAAAAAAAAATCATTGAAAAAATACCCTTGGGTGAGGATTAGCAAAAAAAATACCACCCCATCCCCCCTTATCCCTTATTGTCATTCTTTGAAAAAAACTCTGGGCATCCATTGCCTTTCATGTATTATATACTCTACCTGTATTGTTCAACCACAACACATCGTCTTTAAGACTAGGCTTCTCTGTGAAACTTGAGCCTGCCCCCCTAGCTGAGGTACAATTGTACATTACCCCTGTTGGAGAACTCCCTCTGAATTGTAGTCACTTAAGGTTTGTCTCATTCATCTTTGGGATTCTTTCCCTTAGCATAATCCCTGGCATAGTTGGTGCTGAATAAATGGTAGCTATTACTAGAGAGTCAAGGTTGAAATTGACACAGGAGTGATATATACGGATGGGGTTCTTTTTTTTTTTAATTGTTTTATTGCTTAAAGTATTACAAAGAGTATTACATATGTCTCCTCCCCCCCCCTCGCCCCCCGCCGCCCTTGACAATCCCCTGGCCTCCCCTAACCCCCAGTGTCTTATGTCCATTGGTTACGCTTATATACATGCACACAAGTCCTTCGGTAAGGATGGGGTTCTTAAAGGAAAAGGTACTTAACCTGACAAGAAAAGCATTGATGCCAAGATTTTCAAGTTTGTGAAACACTTTACCCTCTGCCTCCCATGTTATTAGCTGTATTAGGTAGAAATTTTACAGCTATTAGGATTGTCTCATATGTCTGACTTGGCCGCTTCTCTCTACTGTATGTGAGGGGTTTAACCTCAGTTCTCCGTGCATTTCCTGGACACCTTACCATTGCACAGACACTGGGGTCTTCATGTAATCAAGTCACATGTCACACTTTTTTTTTTAATATATATTTTATTGATTTTTCACTGAGGGATAGAGAGTTAGAAACATCGATGAGAGAGAAACATCGATCAGCTGCCTCCTGCACACACCCTACTGGGTATGTGCCTGCAACCAAGGTACATGCCCTTGGCCGGAATCGAACCCGGGACCCTTGAGTCCGCAGGCTGACGCTGTATCCACTGAGCCAAACCGGCTAGGGCACATGTCACACTTTTTTTTTTAATTTTTTTTTTAAAATATATTTTATTGATTTTTTACAGAGAGGAAGGGAGAGAGATAG